CCACTGCCTTAGGTTCTACCACCAGGGCCGTGGGTTGGCAGACGAGTCTCTCCTCAGGATGCCGTCGAGCCGTCCTCGGCTTATGGCTTTCTTCTTGTTGCCGAGGGGTTCTCCTTTCAGGCTGCTTCTGCTCTGTCCTGCCATCCTTCCCGCCGCTGCGCAGCCCCAACTCCTCTCGGTCTCTAGGTGGTATGGCCATGGCCCCGTACTCTGCCTCCTCTCTCTCATACTCCTCCTCTTCATCGTCCTCCCAAGCCAGCAATGCCTTCTCAGGGTCCTCACTAATCTCAGTCTTCTCCAACTGTCCCTTCAGCTTCGCCACCTCTCTCTCTAACTGTAACTCCCTTGCCGATTTTCCTCGCATTCTCTCTCCCTTGCTGTAGCACCTGTCTTCAGTATGCCCCCTTTTCCCACACCCGGTGCAGATAGGTGCCTTGGGGCAGTCACGTCTGAAATGTCCTTTCATCTTGCATGTGTCGCACACTATGTCTATGGCGCAGTCCTTCCGCACGTGCCCCTTTTCGCCGCACTTGTAACACCTGCGTCTATCTTCAGACGGCCTCTCTCTTCGTTCCTCTTCCCCCTGTCTCCCTTCCACCGCTGCCCAAGCAGGCCTCCGACGTTCGCTCGGCCGACTGGAGCTTGACCCCCTCATTCCTTCGAAAAACCTCTTTCCATCCTCCACTTCTTTCGCCACCTGGTACACCTGTCGCAGCTTCGCCCGTACCCCCAAGGAGTATAGTCGGCTTCTCATGTCTCGTATCAAGTCCCCATCCAGTCCGTTGACGAACTTGGTCACTAGGATGCGCTCCTCCACGCAGCCCATATCCTCTGCCAGCTCCAGTAAACGGTTATAGTAGGCCAACATCGACTCTGCCGGCGCTCTTCTGAAGTCTTGAAACTCCGCCATCCGGTCAGCCGAATGCCCCGGGAACTGCTCCTGCAGGCTTTCCAAGAAACGGTCCGTAATATCTGCCGGTAAGATATCTCCTCTGTTGCTCCGCATCAGCAGCCCCTGCCTCTCCACGCGGTAATGAGTCAACGCCTCTCCTTTGAGAGTCCTCCCCAAGCCTTTGAAAAATTCAATAGGATCCAGTCGCTCCCTATCCCAGCAGTAGCGAATGTCTTCAATCATCATCAGGTAGTTTTTCAGCATGGGCTCCTCTCCGGGTGCCCCCGAGAAGCGGTCTGGTACCTCAATTTTGGGGGGTGTAGTACTCATCGACCTGCCTGTCCCCCAGCTTGTGTTCCCTCCTTCTCCACTCCCTGCAGGTCGCCCTGCTCTCCCGGCCTCCATGGCTTCGTATCCTCCAGCAGAGAATCCGTGATATGCTTCCTTGCCTCGCTGACTTCGTCGTTCCACCGATTGATCGTCTCCTCCCCTCAGACTACGCCTTTCTTCACGTTGATCTTCTTCTCCTCTCTGACTCCGCCGTTCTTCTCGATGATCTTCCCCTCCCTTCTGACTTCGTCGATCTTCATGTTGATCGTCTCCTCCCAGATCTGGATTTCCTCGGCGAGATCCACTCCCCACAGGTCGCCCTCCACTCCTCTCCGCGGGCGAGTCGCATGCAGAGCTCGACTGTTGTTCTCCGTGTACACCTCGTTCTTCCTCCCGATCCCCGCCTTGGTTACCGCGCGAGATCGTCCCTCCTTCGCCCGCCCGAAATCCAGGCATCCTGACCGGCGGATCACGTCCCTCCATCATCCTCGCCGGGAATCGGTGTCCAGAGCGCAGTTGATGAGTGTGAAGCTCACGGTCGAAATTACTCATTCCTCACGGTGCATCACCGTGGGCAACTCCAGGCAGTAGATCCTGCCACCTCTTCTCTCAACAATCGTAATCCTGACTACCCTTTTTGCTTGTATGAAACAAGACTTAACTCCCTCGCAAGGGCTCCGCCGATTTGCTTCAGCTCCTCTCTACTGCTAGTTCCCCGTGGTTTAGGAAATCACAATTGCAGTAAACGAGAAACATACAAGCAAAAAGCAACGAGTCTGAGCGCTACCCCAGTCTACATCCCCTCCTGCCTAGGTGCCTTGTCCCGCAAGCTACCTCTACTCCTAAGCGCGAGTCAGCCGAGCTGATCGCGTAGGCTTCAAGGTGCTAGCTGGGTCCCACTCGGCCCACTAGGCATGCACCGCCTTCCAGCCTGGTGAATGGCGAATTGAATTCCCAGGCTGGCTGGAATCGAATTCGCCACCAACCTCCCCCCTAACCACCTCGAAATCCTCAGCAGCTCGACTCTGTATAGTACAGTAACATTCCAAAAGAGCAAACAAAGTAAAATGCAAAAAGCAGTAAACTATAGTACACCTCACCTTGGCTGCTGTGTAATTCACACTTAGTTGCCAGCTAAGTGTTAATCACGCGACAGTCTTGATCAGGCCACAGCTCTCAGCTACAACCCTCTGGTTCACCCCAAGTCGTTGCCTCACCCTTTTCCTCCGCATTTCACCCTTTTCCCTTCGCCATTCCGCCTGCCCCCACATGGCCCCGCGTGTGCCTGTGTGTTGAGCAGGACGCAGCTCGCAGCTACGGCATTCTGGGCCCCCCCAAGTCCAAGCTGGCCCGCTCGAGATCCGCCTCGCGAATGATAGGCAGCCACGTGGCACCTGCCCCCTCTCGCTCCCTTTCACACTCGCAGTCGATGTCACGCTCGCATGGCCATGCGCCTTCCCAGAAAAATTCTCGGGCGGCATCAGCATCAGCATTACCTTCAGGAGCACCATCAGCGTCAGCACCAGCGTCAGTGATTGCAGTACCAACAGCATCGGCACGGGATACAGCAGGTACCACAATAGCTCGCTCAGGTAGCGGTCAGGGGCAGGATTCGCAGCAGTCGCAGCATTGGCAGCACGGGCAGCAGCCGCAGCAGGGGCAACAGCAGCCGCAGCAGGGGCAACAGCAGCTGGGGTCTATGTCACAAGATCCCTTGTTATTGTCGCAGGGTGGCTCTCAAGGCTGGCTGGTGGAGTCGCAGGGGACAACAGAGGATGCAGCAGCACAGATGGCACCGTTACAGTCACACCCAGTACTGTCCCAGTTGGATTCTCAGTCCCAGCCGTTTTTATCTCAGTCAGAGCCTGTCATTCCACGTGCCTACAGCAGAACAGGGGGGGAGAGAGGAGGAGGAGAGGTGATGATGGGAGCAGGGGGGAGGGAGGAGGATACAGGGAGAAGGGCAGAAGGCAGCCTGGTGGGTTCAGGAGGAAGACCAGGAGGGGCAGCAGGAGGTGGTGTAGCAAGTGCAATGATGGCACGAGATAATGCTGCTAGTCAAAGGCGGCTCCAGCAAAGAAGGCAGCCTGTGCCGTTCTCTAGAAGGTACGGTGTGGAGTGGTGCAGGGTTGATTATGAGGTATGAGGTGTCTCGCAAGTTTGATAAGGACCGATGTTTGTTTGTTTGTTTATTTTGTTTTTGTTTCCTTTCTTTTCTTTTCTTTCTTGCTTGCATTGCACTATTGCTAACCTAAGTACGCTCCTTCCACCTAGATTCTGCATGTAATGTGCAGGGTTAAAAGACGAACGCTGGGCACTAAACTCACCACTGACGGAGATGATGATGATGATGACGAAGATGATTTCTGACTGGCTCTGGCTAACACGCATTGTTGACTTGGAAGCTTCTAATTCCAATCCTGTATAGATAAAGGTTGTGTATGGGATTTGTGTTTTGCATTGTCTGTAACATGTAATAGCGCCTATATTGAAAAGAAACCGCTTCGTGACGGAACATTGTTCGAATTTCAAGGCTACAATCAACTCTCCTCTGCTGCTGTCCGCTCTGTGTTGACCCCGCCTTGATATCACCGCTTTCCACGGGCTCAGCTAGACGTCGAGGTTGAAAGCGATTTTAAGACACGTGTCTCCGACGTGTCACGCTTCCAGTGTCAGAAAGATGCCGCTCCTTCTCGCTCACTATCGGCCAATGCTCGATCCAACGCCACGTGGCAGTCCATTGTAGGGCTACCGCCGGCACGATTACGTTTTCCTTCGTGTGAGGTCCTAATCCGAAAATAAGTACATGTGGTGTTTAACTGCCACTTAATTTCTGCTCAGTGGTAGCTTCTACTTATTTTGGCGATAAGCTCTCCAGGGTGCCTACTTATTCCTACGCGGTAATAACCGTTAGATCCTCTTCATGCCCGTGTCGCTTCGCCACGGCTCCACATTCGCACCGCCCGCCGCTCTCTCTCCGCGCTTCCGCGGCAGTTCCGCCTACGGGGTAGCTTTGGTTGCGGCAGGGTGCATTCTCGTTATAATCAGCCTCGTTTGGTCAGATATAAGCCAGCCCAAGTCCTTCGCTCTTAACTCCTCGCTCGTCCCGCAGAAACGATTGACTGAAGCCAAAGCAGAAGCAGCCGGAGAAGGAACCGCATGGAAGGTCGCAGAAACAGGAGCAGGAGCAGCGGCAAGGAAGGCAGCAGAAGCAGAAGCAGAATCATTGAATGAAGTTGGTCTGGGCTTCGGTGTGGGCTTCGGTTCGGGTCCATTTAGGGATGATGCAGCATTGACCCCACGCAGTGATGATTCTGCGGCACTGATTCCCATTCTTGCCTCGCCGGGAACTGATGGTAGTACCAGAATTATAGCAACTGATAGTGATGGTACAGTGCTTTCTGCTGTCAACAGAAGAGCAGCACCAGACGGACTGGTAGCAGAAGCAGCGGGCACAGCAGCAGGAACAGGTGGAGGGGCAGTTGAAGGGGCAGGTGAAGGAACAGCTGTTGCAGCAGCAGAAACTAAACCGGGTGTAAGGTCTGTTGATCACAGCTCAGCATCATCCCCACCGTCCATTCCCACCACAGCCGAGGGCCTTCAGAGCATCATCGGCCAATGGGATCACATCCCTGGATCCATCCTCGCCACGTCAGCACAGGTCCAGTCCTTCCGAGACCGTTTCACCTGCATCAGCAGGAACGGACGGTGGAGATTCAACTCCACGCCGCGGCTGCTGCCATGGCCGGGCGAGATGAGTTCGTGTGATGAGCGGCACATGGGGGCCATGCCGGGAGCAGTGGCGATGCGTGAGGCGGATAGGTTGGTGGAGGAGGGGCGGGGAGAGGTGGAGTGGAAGGTGAGAGAAGCACTCAAGTATGAATGGAGGGTGGAAGGGGACGGAGAAGGGGAGGGCGTGGGCGGGGAAGGGGGAGAGGGCAGTAACAGCAGCAGCAGCAACAGCAGCAGCGGCGTCGGCGGCGGCGGCAGCAGCAGTAGCGGTGGTGGCGGTGGTGGCGGGAGCAGTGGTGCCTCAAGCACCCCCAGCAGCAGCAACAGCCAGGGTACATGTGGGCGGTGGGAGCGGTTTTCAGGCGAGGCACTCTGTCGGGCGATAGCAGGGCGGAACGTGATGGTGGTGGGGGACTCGCTGAGCCTGCAGCTCGCGCACGCCCTGCGCTACAACGTGCGCGTGGGCTCGGACGACCCCAAGGAGCGCGTGCGGCGCGGACGCATCTCGGTGCTGTGCAAAAGGGTGCGGGGTGCTTCGTACTCCCCGTGGCTGTCGCTGCAGCGCTGCTGGACCGCTGTGCTGTGCGGGGATGTGGAAGGGAGAGGGGAAGGGGATGGGCAAGGGAGGTTGGGGACTGGTATTGTGGAGGGGAGGGGAGAGGGTGGGGATGAGGAGGGGAGGAACAAGAGCAGCAGCAGCAGCAGCAGCAGTGAGGAAGGAAGCCCACCTTCACCTGCTCGATCCTCTCTGGCGTTCAACCTCTCCTTCGTGCGAGATGACTACCTGCTCTCGCCTGCCTGGCGCAACCAGTGGCTCACCAAGCGCGTGCAGGGCTCGTGGGTGGACGATCTGCGGGGGGAGAACGTGTCGATTCTGATTGTCAACCGCGGCGCGCACTTCACCCCGCACGAGTCATTTGCGTGGGAGGTTTCCGGGCAGCTGGCTTGGTTGCGGGAGCAGTTTCCGGATCTGCTGATTGTTGTGCGCGGGACGCCGGCGGGGCATAGGGAGTGCATGCGTTACGACCGTCCCTTGGAAAAGAAGGTTGGAAAGGATAATTCGAGTGATAGTGATAGGCGTGGTGGGAGTTTTGAGCATGTAGATAAGTATAATTGGGAGAAGTTTGCGCACCAGAATGAAGTTGCGAGGAAAGTGGCGGAGGCGGTGGGGGCTGTGTATATGGATGTGGAGAGTATGACTGAGCTGAGGCCGGATTCCCATAGAGGGGCCAAGGATTGCCTTCATTACTGTCACCCTGGGCCAATTGATGGTTGGGTGCAGTTGTTGTACAATATGTTACTTGACCTTCTTCCTGTATCTTAATGTTTTAAAGGGAATGGTGCTACTGGCTTGAACAGAGAATGGTGCCCTGTTAAGGGATTCAAAATTTAAGGCTGTCTGGTTAATATGCAATGTGTTTATTCAATGCAAGCTTGATCACTATTTTGCAAGCTAGTGAAGCTCGTCGAATCCAAGGTGCAGTCAAATGCTTCCGAAACGAATCTGTTCCAAGCGAGACATATACTCCCTTCCAGAACCTCCCTTCAACCCTCCCCAATTCACCGATTCAGACCTTGGGGTTGGGGCACAATTCTCAGGGTTTTCATCCGTCCGTCAGAAAGCTCAGTCCTCTTGATTGCCTTGCAGCTTCCGTCACCGCTTCGTTTCGACAGCCTCTATACCCTTCGCTGGAGTTTTCGGTACAGCCATTATAATGGCTGCAGAGGAGGAGTTACGGCCGGTAGAGGCGAATAAAGACGTGGCCGAAGCGGGAGAAGCCGCAGAGGAGATGAAAGCGGTCGATGGGGCGTCGGAGGAAGGGCAGGAGGACGACGGGAGCGAGGATTTCAACAAACTGATTCCGGATTCCGATTCGTCAGATTCGGAAGCGAGTGAAGGGGAGGGGGGAAGCGACGAGGAGGAGGAGGAGGAAGAGGGAAGGGGCGAGAAGCGAGAGGGTGCGTCTGGAGCCAGTCTGGCAGCGGCGCAAGCTCAAGCGGAGAGAAAATCCGCATTGCAGGCGGCGCGATTGGCGCGCGAGCAGAAGCGCGCAGATGCAGCGGCGGAGCGGAAGGAGCGGCGCGCGCTGAAGGACCTGTTGCGGCGGCCGTGGGAGGCGGGGGAAGCCGGCGGGGGAGATGGCGGAGAGGATGGGGGGAAAGAGGAGGAGGTGCAGGGGAGTGATGCTGAGGGGGAGGAGGGGGAGGAGGGGGAGGAGGGGGAGGAGGGGGAGGAGGGGGAGGAGGGGGAGGAGGGTTCAGAAGGCGAGGGGGATGATGAGGAAGAGGAGGAGGAAGATGAGGAAGAGGAAGGAGAGGAGGGAGAAGAGGGAGAAGAGGAAGATGAAGAGGAAGAGGGCGAGGAGAGCGAAGAGGAAGGGGAGGCAGAAGAAGGGGAGGAGGGGGAGGAGCGAGAGGGGCGGGAGGGCGATGGCGCGGGTCATGCGGCGGAGGAGAGCGACTCCTCGGAGGACGAGGTGCGCCCGCTCTCCCCCTCCCACTCTCCCCCCTCCCACTCTCCCGCCCTCCCACTCTCCCGCCCTCCCACTCTCCCGCCCTCCCACTCTCCCGCTCTCCCACTCTCCCGCCCTCCCGCTCTCCCCCTCCTTCTCCCTCTCCCGCCCCGCCCTCTCTCCCCAACTCCCACTCTCCTGCCCTCCCACTCTCCCGCCCTCCCACTCTCCCGCCCTCCCACTCTCCCGCCCTCACGCTCTCCCGCTCTCCCCCTCCTCCCTCTCCCGCCCTCCCACTCTCCGCCCCTCCCACTCTCCGCCCCTCCCACTCTACCGTTCCTTCTCGTCCCCTAGCCCCTTCTCCTGCCCGCACTCCCATTCTTCCCCCCTACACAGGGGCAACACGGTGGGCAAGGCCCCTCTGGGGTGGTACAAGGAGGAGGGGGCACGATGAGTTGCGAGTCCCTTTTGAGTGGTAACACGGTGGGCAAGAATCAAGATACACTCAAAAGCCTTCACGGGGGCAACACGGTGGGCAAGGCCCCTCTGGGAAGGTACAAGGAGGAGGCGGCACGATGAGTTGCGAGTCCCTCTCACCCTTTTCCTTTCCCCACCCCCTTTCACCCCCACGGGCCAATGTCTTCCCCGCCTTGCTCCCCTTCCCCTTCCCCTCCTACCCTCCAGCGCCCATCGCGCAACACGGTGGGCAAGGTGCCTCTGGAGTGGTACAAGGAGGAGGGGCATATTGGGTACGACAGGAAGGGGCGACTTGCACAGTCGTACCTTCCCCTCCTCCCCTCCCTGCTCTTCCTTCCCTCCCTCCCCCCTTCCTTCCCCCCTCCCCCCGTCCTTCCCCCTCCAGCGCCCATCGCGCAACACAGTGGGCAAGGTGCCTCTAGAGTGGTACAAAGAGGAGGGGCACATTGGGCATGACAGGGAGGGGCGTCTTGCACACTCATACCTTCCCTTCCTCCCCTCCCTGCTTTTCCCATCCCCCCTCCAGCGCCCATCGCGCAACACGGTGGGCAAGGTGCCCCTAGAGTGGTACAAGGAGGAGGGGCACATCGGGTACGACAGGGAGGGCAAGCGCATTATGAAGCAAAAGGGGCGCGCCTCTAAGGGGGACAAGCTCGACGAGTTCCTCGCCCACACTGACGACCCTGATGCGTGGTGCGTTGAGTTGCTGTGGTACTGGTGGTTGGGGGGGTGAGGTATTGCGAGTGTGTGGCAAGGGTGCTGGTGTGTGTGGAGTGTAGCTGGTGGGGTGTTAGTGGGTGGTGCAGTGCGGGGTGCTGCTGTGTGTGCTGGGTAAGTTTTTGTGAGTGCGTGGCAAGGGTGCTGTGTGTGTGGTCGGAGCATAGCTGCTTATCAGAGTGGCCTCTAAGGGGGACAATGGACGATTTTCCCTGCTCACACTGATGACACCAACGCCTGCTGCGTGCAACTGGGGAGCTAGTTGGTTGTTGGAGAGGGGAGCGAGTTGGTTGTTGGAGAGGGGAGCGAGTTGGTTGTTGGAGAGGGGAGCGAGTTGGTTGTTGGAGAGGGGAGCGAGTTGGTTGTTGGAGAGGGGAGCGAGTTGGTTGTTGGAGAGGGGAGCGAGTTGGTTGTTGGAGAGGGGAGCGAGTTGGTTGTTGGAGAGGGGAGCGAGTTGGTTGTTGGAGAGGGGAGCGAGTTGGTTGTTGGAGAGGGGAGCGAGTTGGTTGTTGGAGAGGGGAGCGAGTTGGTTGTTGGAGAGGGGAGCTAGTTGGTTGTTGGAGAGGGGAGCTAGTTGGTTGTTGGAGAGGGGAGCTAGTTGGTTGTTGGAGAGGGGAGCGAGTTGGTTGTTGGAGAGGGGAGACATTTCAGTCCGCTCAAAGGAGCTGGGGTAATGTGAGCTGGGGTAATGTGAGCTGGGGTAATGTGGGCTGGTGGGTGGGCTGGTGGGTGGGCTGGGGTATCACGAGCGTGCCGTGCGGGCGCTGAGAGTTTAGTTGAAATCCTTTCTCTGTGCATCTTTCCTGTTGGATCTTTCCAGGAAGGTGGTGTACGACGAGTACAACGATGAGGAGATCCGGCTGACAGAGGAGGACATTGATATGATTCGTAGAATCAGGGAGGGCCGCACCCCACACGCCCACGTCAACCCCTATGAAGTGAGTGATCCGAGCTGCGCTGAGCTGAGCTCAGCTGAGGCGTAGCCAACTATCTGCAGAGATCCGGCTGAGCTGACAGAGGAGGACATTGATATGATCCGTAGAATCAGGGAGGGCCGCTCCCCACATGCCAATGTCAACCCCTATGAGGTGAGCCGGCCTGAGCTGAGTTGATTCAAGTAGAGGTAAGTAGATTTGATTTGAGTGGTGGTTGCCTCAACAACAGGCCAAGGGACCCATTAGTTGAAATGAGGTCACTTCAATGAGGTTACTTTGAAATGAGGAAAAGCATGAAATGAGGAAAAGCATGAAATGAGGAAAAGCATGAAATGAGGAAAAGCATGAAATGAGGAAAAGCATGAGGCCCCCTTTCCGCACCACACCCCACCACCACCCCTTCCCCCCCACTCCCCCCCAACATTGCAGCCAGTTTGTTTGCTTCTGAGAATCCCAATGTCTTTCGCCTTTCCCCACTCCTCGTCCCCTCGCTCCCCCCAGCTATACCTTGACTGGTTTGACTGGGATGAGAAGTGAGGTCCCCTCACACTCAATTGGGTTTGTCTGGCTTTAAAACCCACTGCTCATTTCCAAACCCCCACTGCTCACTTCCATACCCCCCTTCTCACGCCCCCCTCTCTCCCCACAGCCATACCTGGACTGGTTCGACTGGGATGAGAAGTGGGATCCACTCAATGCGCAGCCAGAGCCCAAGAGGCGCTTCACCCCCTCCAAGCACGAGGCCAAGCAGGTGAGCGGGCGAGCAGGTGAGCGGGCGAGTGTATGGGTAGATGGGCTGGATGGATGGAAAAGGCAGTGCACACCTATGATGCGAAAGACGCGTCCTGCGTCCTGGACGCATGCGTCCAGACACATGCGTCCGGACGCAGGACGCTTCACCAGGACCAGAAAGACGCACCAAAAGACGCAGTCCCGGGCAGGCAAAAAAAACCCCCGGGCAGGCAAAAAAACTTGTTATAGGGCATGGGATGAGGGGGGGGGGGGGGGGAACGTTCCACACTTTCAAGGCAAACTTGGCCCCAACATCAAATTTTCCCCCAAATCTCAAGATTAAGGTGAGTCACGTATTGTCACACACATGTCCCAAGGTCACATGCACAGTTTATCGTATCACTGAAGAACACACATACTATTAAACTACCACCACAGCACTGCATGCAGGCAACCAGTCATCTCATCCCATTAAATATGGTGTTTGGGCTTTTGCGGTTTCTTCTCCACCCCATCACTAGTGAAACGCTGCGGGGGAGACTCGTCCTCGGCATGAACATCCCTAGATGCGTTAGATGACGCAGGGTTGCTTGAGGAAGCCATAATGGAGCTAAGCTATGCTTGTAGGCTAAAACCTCTAGGGTTTTCGAAAGAGAATTGGTTGGGTGGGTGAAATGAGAAATGACCTGGTTGGATTGCTAAATGGGCTTGGTGGTAGGCACCTTGGTTGGGTTTTCTAGATGTGAAGTGGTTGAGAGGTATTTGGAATTCAATTGTTGCATGGGGGGGTATGAAATGTTGGGGGGGGGCTGTTTTTCAATGTCAAATTGGGCAATGGGGGGTCAAAATTTCGCGATTTCGACAGTCGCGTCGAAATCGCGAGATTGAAATTCGTAATCTGGAAAAAAAAAAAAAATCGGGGCAGCCCGAAATTTTTTCGATCTGCGTCCTGCGTCTGGACGCGCGTCTTGCGTCCTAGCGTCCAGACGCCGCGTCCAGACGCAGGACGCAGCGTCCTCTGAGCGTCTTTCGCATCATAGGTGCACACGAGGCTGCAGTGGGGGATTGCGCTCCATGCCATGCCATGCCATGGTGATGGGAGAGTCGGTCTGGGTGGTTCTTTTTCGTGTGTGGTGCATGCAGAATCGCATTGACTCGTGATTGCGGCATGGAGGTCAATAGGTAGGTTTAGAAGGTACTATATGGCGAACTGATTCCTTTAACTGCTGCTGCTGCTGCTGCTGCTGCTGCTCCCATCGCCGCCACATCTTTTCCCTCTTTCCTCCCCGTCTTCCTGTTTCGTCTCCCACTTACCACTGCCGGCCATCCCCACCGTTTATCACCTCCCGCTCCTGTCCAACTCTCCCTCGCTCCTGTCCAACTCTCCCTCGCTCCTGTCCAACTCTCCCTCGCTCCACACGCAGAATGTGACTTTTGCAGGGCCAGCCTGCGGAAACGGGCCGCTTTTGATCGTCTCCTTTTGGACCGCCAAACCCCTTCCTCCCCCCCCACTTTTTTCCCATGCAGATAGTGCGGCTGGTGCGAGGACTGAGAAAAGGAACGATCAAGACTTTAGCGCAGAGGGAGAAGGAGCGGAAGCAGAAGGAGAGCGAGGGGCAGCAGCAGGCGGTGTACCTGCTGTGGGGGGACGACCTTAAAGCCATCACCTCTCAGTCTGACAAGACCAAGAACGTCAACGGACTCAGCTTCGTCGCCGCTCCCAAACCCAAACTGCCAGGTCAGCCCACACTGCCAGGTCAGCAGCATTGTGCAATACGTGCACACATGAATGTTTGCTGATCTGTCACGTCTGCATGGCTTGGTTTGAGTCCCAGACGCGGCCCTTTTCATGCCAAGAAATGCAGAATTCAACTGGCGGCAATTTCTGAAATCTCTCAAGCCCTAAAAGTTGGTTTTGCCATTGCACGGGTCGTGGTCAGGCACGTGAAGGCTCGTGGCTCTCCCCGTGCCTTCGCTGTCCCCTCGCATGTGGCATGTGCACACCACATGCCACAGGCCACGAGGAGTCGTACAACCCGCCAGTGGAGTACATACCAACGGAGGAGGAGGTGGCAGCTTGAGCCGTGGCATTGCCTCATGACTCTGTGCTCTGCTCTGCCCTGCCCTGCCCTGCCCTGCCCTGCCCTGCCCCGCCCCGCCCCGCCCCGCCCCGCCCCGCCCCGCCCCGCCCCGCCCCGCCCCGCCCCGCCCCGCCCCGCCCCGCCCCGCCCCGCCCCGCCCCGCCCCGCCCTGCCCTGCCCTGCCCTGCCCTGCCCTGCCCCCTCAGGCCATGAGGAGTCATACAGCCCACCGGTGGAGTACATGCTCACGGAGGAGGAGGTGGCAGAGGCAGCTTGACCTGTGGCAGTGACTCATAACACTGCCCTTCTTACCCGTCTACCCTGTCCTGTTGTCTGCTCTCTCTCGCAGGCCACGAGGAGTCGTACAACCCGCCAGTGGAGTACATACCAACGGAGGAGGAGGTGGCGGAGA